AGTCTATTGCTGCAATCTATTGATCTACTGACTTTCATAAGATCGAGTTACAAACAGGCGACATTATGCACCCACAGACAGTATCAATACCATTCAACTAATTTTAGTTAGTTAATACATTTCTGTTATGAAACAGAGTTTCCGGAAACTATTACTTACATATTAAGGTACGTTATTTATTATATAAAAAACTTTTGACTTTCCTAGCAAGTAGTTTAATTAAGCTGTAGTTTGAATAATTAGTTCCTATGAGTATTACTTTTATGGATGTTCCCCTGTATTGTATTAGTTTCATGCTTCGTGCATGCATTTCAATTGCACAACATGTTGACAAACAATGTCCATAGGTAATACACTTGTACTAAAACTAAGGCGAAAAAAATAACAACTATGTACCTTAAATATCAAATAATAATAAGCCAATGAGGCACCAATCGACACATGAGGAGATCGTATGCAAACTTGGAGCATACATAGACCAGATCGTGGATTTTCCTGCCGCCAACATTCACCACTAGCATCCCATGCCTCTTGTGTCCGCCTTGGCCAGTTTTTCCGCCACCGGTTGCTTTCCCACGCTAGGCTGCAGCTGCTCCGATCGGAGCGGATTGCTTTGGATTGGATTGGATTGGATCGGATCGGCGATGCCGAGAATGCCCAGTTGCCGGCTGATACCAGTATTCTAATGCGCCCGGGACACGGATAGAGATTAATTAATATTGCAGCTCGTTAAGTGGCAACAAGGCTTTTTGCTGTTGCCCTTATTATGGCCTTTGTTTTTCTGCAAATTCATTGTTTAATAATTATTTCGTGTTATGCAGGAAATTTCATTGGAAAACTGTATTTTTATACCTTTGTAGGGTATTATAATTTAAATCTGAAGCTTTAAAAGCAGTGATGGAATCTTTCCAGCTATATCCGACCAAAACAATATTTTTTTCAGGAATTTCCATTTTTGGAAAAAAAAGAGGGTTACATCGTTAAAATTTTCAAAAATCGTCCAAAAATTCATATTTTATATGGAGTACAGTTTTATTAACCTGCTAAAAATTAACATACGAACTCTTTCCGTATTGAAATTAATGCATTTTTGACTTAGTTATGAGTTTCTTAAGCTTTGATTTGTCGAAAAATTGTCATATAATAATATCGCTAAATATCGAATCAAAGTATGTGAATATTTTAAGTTATATTCTATTCTGTCCAATAATTCAATTGAAAATTGCAAAAATATATAAGCTTCTGCATCTTGAAGTTAGTTTCCTTTCTTATTATATATTGCATTCAGGAACTCCACTTGGATTTCCTTAAAGAAAAGGCAAAGCTTAGTTAATTACAGAGGCTGGAAAATGATGATTTTTTTTTTAATATATATCAGGAACGAAGATTTTTCCAAAACTTTACCCCTGCAGGCCAGTGTTTGTTTGCATGACATCTTCCCAGTTCAAGTCTTCCATCATATCATGTGAATGCTGACGATGCGCTCATCCCATAGATCTCATAGTAGCAAATAAACTAAATATGTTCAACTTAACGACTGTCCGCTAAATATCAAAAACAATCTTGGGAGTTTTTTCCTTTCGGCTTTTGTTGTCGGCTATTTGTATTTAAAGTTTTTCTCATTTCTGCTACCTTTTTTGTGTGGTTTTTGTGTTTTGCCGTCAAGGTCTTTTGGCGGCAAACGCAGACAGCGATTTATGAGAGGGGTGTTGCCTTTTATAATTTGGCAGAGCTATTTGCTGTGTGTGTGTGTATTGTTGAGGTTATTGTATAATATTTGCCTTTGCTCGAAATACATGTATAATTTACTAGCCACTTATCGGGCCACGTTGAAGATCTGTGGATTGTGGGGGCGTGGACGGCTCAGCCTCTGGGAAAAATGGCTTTAATGTCAAGTGTGGCTCACAGAATTTCGGATGCCGGCTTAAAGGCACTCGAGAAGCCCAAAAACTGTGTTTTCAACAAGTTTTTTGTGTTGTGTGTTTTCTGGGACTTGATTGCTTCTCTGTTTTGGGCACATTTCATCAAATGCCTGTTCACTCAATTAGATGTTGAAACTGAGGCTGAGGACGTTGCCATAACTCTGGACCTCTGGCTTCGATTCGGCAAGCATTGAATTATGAATCAGAAGTTTTGAAGAGCTTTTATGCATATATATTTATATATTTATATATTGTACTCTGAGCTCTGCTTATTGTTCATCCACTTCTAATTGTTTCCTATGCCGAGCGAAACAAATTGAAATGTGATGTGGTTATTTAGGTGATTTCGTTACGCTCTTTGCCCATAAAAACAAAAGAAAATGGGATTTTGATTAAATTTAAAGTTAATCGGCTAGAAGTTAGAGGAAATATACTTCTAGTTTCCATGGGAAGCATACAGAAAAAATACAAGTCGACAGATTTCGTTTTCATCTCAAAAGATCTTTAAGCAATAAATGTAAATTAAAAGCCAACTAACACTCTCTCATATACTTTATAAAAAAATGCAAGTTATGGCGTTTCGAATCGGTGAGAAGAATCAAATGAAACCCATAATTTTCGGCGGCTCAAAACGATACCCAAAAGATCCTCAGGAATTTGACTCTACTCTCAACCCGACTGCAACAACCGGCCAAAACCGGTTGGCATCATTGATTCAATAAGCATTCAACTTAGCATCGATCTGTGAGTCGATCATTGATTTATATAGCCCCGACTGCAGTCGCGGAATGTCTTGATTTTTGTTTTCATATAATTTGCACGCAATGAGTGTGCAGGCGACACGAGGCATTAATTACGAGTACATGTGATGGTGACATCATCATCAACATCATCATCGCCATCATTGTCATCTGTCAGTTTGCAGATTTCAATTGCAGTCTCAAATGTCAAATGAAAGTTGCTGCAGCAGCAGCAGCAGCAGCAGTCCCTGTGTGTTAATTATCCCATGCATAATCGCGGTTACTTGGATTTTTTTTGTAGTCTCTTAGATTCACACGCAAACACAAGACGAGCAGCAGCAGCAACAACATCAGCAACAGCAGCAGCAGCAACAGCAGCAGAAGGTTGCAAAAGCTACAAGAGTTGGATTGCATATTTAACACGAGTTTATATAACCGCCTTGCCACGGGTGATTAGCACTGATTGATTTGTGTTTTTTTGATGGTCGTCGAGCATTTGCATATGGCCATCTTGGTGACTTTGGTATCTTTGTATCTTTGCATCTTGGCTTCCAGCCAGACTATCCATGCAAACGCATCGCGAACACACAGCTGCAAATGGCCAGCCAAAAAAACCTGTTGTCTGCAACCCGCATTACGTAACTTTCGCTGCATCTGTTTTGGAATTGCGCTTATGACCATGAGCTGTGGTCCTGCTACCTCTAATTGCTACTACCAACTCCGTGCTGACCCCAAACAAGCCAACAAGCATACAATAAGAGACACACAGAATTATCATTATTATCACAACATTGTCATCTGTAGAGGAAAAATAAAAAATAATATAAAGGAGAAGGAGGAGAAATAGAAACACTTGGCCGCTGGCGATGGTTTTGAATTTCTAGATGTTGCTGCTGCTGCTGTCCGTGCAACTTTTATTGGATGGCAGGCAGCGTGCTAAGCATGGCTGGCTGTTAAGCATAAACATTGCCAGCGGCGAAGACACGAAAAATAATAAAAAAAAACTAAGCGAGTGAAAAATAAAGAAAAATAACTTAGCCAAACCGAAAGCTAGTTCTGTTATGCACAGTGGGGCTGAATGGGGAAATGAGTTAACTCGGGTCGACTTAACTATGGGAGCTACTGATATACCATAGATAAGGGGTAGAGGCATTTGAAAAACGCTTTTCATTGTAGTGGCAGTCCCATGATAGTATCGTTAGGTAAGGGCTTATGCTTATGTCTTATGCTTATGTCAGGCAGCACTTCCTCTGCCTGCCTTTTGCCATCACGATTGTCATTCCGGGCAAAAGAGAAAGCAATAAATTAAATGCATATAAAGCCATTAAATTTCACTCATTGATCCATTTGGTATTGGCATTCCCCACTGGTCCATGCCATGTCCAATGCCCAAAGGCAATTCCACAGATTGCAGTTTTCTGGCAAAAGACCAAAAATGTTTGCTCAGTCCACTACTGGGTTTTGGATTTTCACCCGAATACGAATCCCCATCCTGTTGACGGCAACAAATGACATAAGACATATCGGAAAGGCGAACAAACTGTGTTTGTGTTACCAAGAAGAGAGCAAATCATGCTCATATAAGGTCAGTCTTTAGCTGCCAACAAACCAGCAAACACTTTCAGGGTCAACTGGTGCGTAATCAATGGGTATCAATGAAATCACCGCCCCCGCAGTTTGGTTCAACGCTTTGCGGAAATCAAAAACCGAAGGTGGAAGACAACCTTAAGTTGCTCAAAATGCAATTCCGCTGGGAAAAAAACAAAATTTATGGCAAATAAACAAGTTAAGCAGGCACTGGGGAAAACTGCAAAGACATGGCAAACTTTACTTTAACACCAGAGTTTATAAATATTTAATAGAAAGCTCTTAAACCGTAGTTTTTTATATACACTTGGGATTTTTATACTCATTTATTTACTTTAAAGTCTTCTTGACTAGCCTTTAAGTAAGAAGTTTTCTCCACATTCATCAGTGCCCTCGGGTGGACTTTAATTATGATTTTTTTTTAAGTTTTGTGACCTCAGAACTGTCTTGAAATTAAGCAAATTAAAGTCAACCTCGAATCGTCTAATAGGTTTTTAAGTGTTTAAAAACGAAAGAGTTGCTCTCAGCTGGTATTAAATTTCTTTGAAAAGAAACGTTAAAGCTTCAATATTTAAACTACATCCAAATCAATATATTTTTATTGCCCGATTTGTATTTTTCTCTGTACAGAGGTCTCTGCATCCACACACATTTCACTCTATATATATATATATACAGATATATAGGAGGAATATATTTCGCGGCACGGCTGTGGGCTACAAAATAAATAAAAATACAAAAACTGGCTTACCTTCTCTCCTCATTGTTATACAGTTGAACTGGTGTTGCTGCTGTTGGTGGTATTGTTTCGCTTATTTATTGTTAACGCTTTTTGCCAGCCACTGCGACAGGTTGTTAGTTTCTGGCTGCTGTACACATTTCATTACACTTCACTCGAGAAACAAACAGGGCGAAATGTGGAGAAATATCATATATATAATATATTAATATAAATGCAAGCTGGGGCGATGACGCCGTATCGGAGATATGCAAATGCGTTGGTGCGATCGCGACTTCGACTTCGACTGTGCGAGTGTGTGTGTGTGTGTGGGCCAAAAACCTTTACTGGTTCTGGCCAAAATGCCAGCCAACACGATTACTAGTAATACTTGGATGCGAGAGTGGAATGAGGTATATGATATAATCGCTGGCATGAATGAATGAACGAACGAAAGGCGTTGCAGCTTCTCTCGCTTGAAGACCAAAAACAATGGCCAAGATTCGCTGTGGACCACGGAACTCGTCTAACTAAGCTCAAATCTTCTCGGCCCAAACTCTGGCGGCGGCACAGCAAATTGCAGCGCCATAATGAAATCGCCCATAATCTTGGCTAAGGCTAATAATAGCAGCAGGTTTTGGAGCTGGTCAACACACACACACACCACTCGGACACACACTTGCACACACAGTCCAGAGTCTGGCTTAGACACAGATACATTTACAGATGGTTAGCAAATTTGGCCACCACTCCGTTTGTTTGTTCTGTATTTTCTTGCCAGCCGATCGGGCGTATACTTCACGCCGAAAAAATTCAAATGACACTCACGTAATCCGCTAAAAATAGTTGAATTCACTGCGCGGTATTTTTGTTTTTGGGTTCGGAGTACAACTTTTGTTATTGTTTTATATATGTATATATTGTTTTGTCAATCTCGGTGGATTGCAAATGCACCGCTCATGGGGTTTAACTCGAAGCGAACGCGTCGCGATCTCGGCTCAAACTGATCGCTGGGAAGTTGCGACAATGTTCAGGCACCTGTGAGTGGTCTAAACCCGAACTGGTCTAAAACGCGGCTCAAACCGGTCGTGCTCTTGGCCAAGTCTGTCTCTTCTCTCTTTGTATATTTTCTTGTCCAAGTCTCTTTCACAACTTTCCTCTCTGGTTTTGGTTTGAAGCTGGTCTTGTGCCGGTCTCTACCATCTGCACTTTGCACTTTTGGCGACTGCATTTTGTTGTCAAACTGCAAAAACTGCATTTAATAACCGTTAACCAAAACTTCTGCAACACGTGCATGGCATTCGCGCACTGAGAGAAATTTTGGGTGCTGCAATCAATTATATTTAAAGATCAAATACAATATATTTAGGGGTTTAATATGTGATTAAACTGTATAAATATTTTCTATGATATTTGGAAAGTATGTTATGTTTCAGGTAGAAAGAGTAGTCGAAATGTTTTCAGTGCACTTAGTGGTTGGGGGTGGTTGACGTTACCGAGGTTGGAGGTGAGGAGCACTTGGAGGCTTACTACATTAGGCCTCATTGCCTGTCAGGCACCACTTTTGGCCAGCTGCCGCACGTGACTGTGCAGCGCTTTTGACTGCTGCTGTTGGGTTGCATTAGGGGTCAGACGGTGGGGCATAAGTTGGGGCTTAATTTGCATCGTGTCATTAGGATGAGTGGCATCGATAATGGGGCCAGACCCCGTACTCTCTGGGTCACTCTTACCACTGTTTAAGGCTGCTTGTTGTGCTACACCAACTCGATGGTATTCAAAATGGTCATTCATATAAATAAATGCTGCATAAATATTAGTATTTTTGGCTGAGAGCCACCATTTGAACAAGCATTGGAAATGTATAATAATATGGTTAAAATAATTAAAAACTCTTCAAAAACTTCCGAACTCGCGGTTTGAATTTATTTATTTTAATGCAGCCAAAAGCTAGAAATAAAGTTTGCTAGCATCCACATAAATTTATGACAGCTCGCAAAGTTGAAAAGGAAATTGCTTATTGTTTTGCACAAATTTCAGAGTCATTTCACATAACGAGTGCTGCATAAAAAGAAGTGGAACTCATTTGTTAATTAATTAGATAAGTTTTCGATTTATTTTGCTGTTTTTTTAAGAACTTATAAACAGGATGTTACCATAAATGTTCTTTTGGTGTTCATTATTAATTTTGTTTAGCTTCTAAAACGATGGTTTCACTTTTAATACATATTTATATTTAGTATATACTTTATTATATTTTATAGCCTGGAGAGTATTATAAAACTTCGGCATTCGAAGATAGTTACTTTTCTTGCTTTTAAAATATATGTCTGTTGCTTGTTTGCTGTAGTCATTTAAATTGAGACAAACCTTAAGTTTTTTCCTTAATTTTAACATAAAGAGTTGGGAACAGTGTAGGGAGAATAAGCTCTTCTACTTTACAGAACCTAAAAAACCTTGTTGTTTTATTTTTTCCTATTTTTACAGGATGCGGGACTCCTGCCAGTTTTATTTCTTCGATGCTGACACGCACAGGATCCTGTGATTTGTCTATTTCGGGCTCTATGCCAGCAGCACTCCTGGCATACATATATGTTAGCATTCTTTCTTTCTATTTTTTTGCTGTGAAATCCGTTTCAGTTCCTCACAGGACGTTACTTTCTGTTTACTTTACGCATCAGGCGCAGCTCGTGTACGCCTGATGTTTGTTATTTGGCACTGCAAGTCGTAAAAAGTTTCCTGTGTGCGCTCTGTGTCCTTGGCGGGTGTCATAAAAGTTGCATAAAACTGCACAGATTTCTCAACTGTGTGTCGTGAAAAAAGTTTAGGATATGTCTTAAATACAATGGAACATCATGCCGGTGTCTCAAAGGATCGCTTTAATATGACCGACCCTAGCATTTGGCTTTAAATACAAACCGGCAAGTCGTTTGTACTCAATAAAAAAAAAAGGACAAGACGAGACAGGGAAAACTGCGGCCTCGCATGTGTCAGGATTTAATTTAGATAAAAGCTTTTCCACACTTTCGTCGCTGAGCCAGGGGGCCACTCTCTCTTCACAACCAGACCTTTGACGTGCACCAGATAATGCCTCAAATCAATTCCGTAAACACTTTCCCGCTTTTCCGCACTTGGCCGCAAAACCCTGTCAGCGTTACGACAATTTATTTTCATGCCAAGCTCCTCCTCCTTGGCCGGCATATATTGATGACGTTGTCCTGTCGCAGGGATTGATTCTGAATTATCAGTTGGAGAGCTAAAACAAAGTTGTATTTATTTCTATCACATTGTAAAGATCGTGGGAGTAAAGAGTTCTCTCGAAAGGGATTAATTAAAAAGTTCTCCCCTTGGTATAAATTAAATTTACGCCTCTACAATGTTAAAAATCTGCCAGTCTAAAATTCAATAAGTTTAACGAACTACTATAAATGCAATTTAAACTATAAACCCAATTTAAAGCCCAACTGCATTAAATTGTAATTCAATATTTACCCTTTGAATACCCAAAAGTCCGCACCCGAATAAAAGATAGTGACAACTTAATTATTCATTGACATTTATTGATTGAATTTGATAATGTTTCTGTTTTCTGCAGCATTTTGTTGAATTTTTACATTGAATATGCGTTAAGGATTTTCTTTTATTTTGTCATTTCTCATCGACTTGATTATGTACTTAGGGTTAGTTTAAGAGTTTTGCGGTGTTTGCTGTTAAGACATCGGCTCAGATATTTGTATATCTTGTACGGAGGGGAACTTAGGAACCTGATTTGTGGCCCGTTGGTAGTTTGCAAAACACACACACATTTTCCATATATATGTATTCACATTTAAAAAACTATATTTTTACAATTGTTTGTTTCGAGTTAGCTTCAAAATATTCATATCAAGTATCGGCGGTAGAGTGTTTTATATGTAGTACTGTCTTGGCATACAAAAAATACACAATAGTTATAAATACTTAGTATCTCTGTGGGTGGGGTTGGTGGTCTGTGTGGTTTTGTGTAAAAGGGGAAATAAATATGGTATATGTAACGAATATATATATAATCGAAAATAGTTGCCGTTTTATTTGATCTTTTTTGTTGTTGTTGTTGTTGTTTCTTTGTATCGTTTTGTTGCCATCTGCTGGTCGCTTGTATATGGTATGTATATAGCAATTAAAAGTATTTGTATTTGCATTCTGTATACGTAGGAGGGCTCTTTGTAGGTTTCTTTTGTATTCTGTAACTAGCACAACAACTGCACATTCAAATAGGTATATACTATATATCGTTATAGGTATAGGTTATGCATGTTTTGGCCTTGATTCTCAATAGTTTTTTTCAGTTGCTTGTTGGTTTTTGTGGCGGCTGGGAAATGCGTTTGGTCTCTTTGTTTGGCCAATTTTCGCATTCCTTGTCAGTTGGAATTTGTAGTTTTTGTTTACATTTACCCTACTCTGCTTGCTTCATATATTTGTTTTTTATTTATTTTTTATTTAGTTTTTTGTTTAGCTAGTGCTAGTAACATGAATAATTTAATTTGATTTGATTTTATTTACTCTTTGCTGTAGGCCCGTGGGTGTGCTTGCATTTTTATCTAATCGATATCTATTATCATAGGTACACATATCAACACAGTAGTTTCGGTTGGTTAGTACAGCAAACTCTTGCCCATATTTATATGTTTATCCATTTAACTATTTATTGTTTATTCTTATTTTTTCTTTTTGCTGCACATAAAATCTGGAAGATAGCAGTTTGCAGTTTGAAGTGAGAAGTCAAAGTGCTCTTTGGAAGATACGGAGTGAGGAGCGTGGAGTTTTATGCTGGGCTGTAGGAGAGCCTGGCACAGTAGCATTGGAAATTATGACTCTACTTCGATGTTTGATTCTTTTTGGGATCATTTCAAAGTATTCGATGTATCGAAGTTGAATTCTAACATAGGAAAACATAATAAAACCGTATAGATACAGATGTTGAAAGGCTGTGCAAGGACTGCGAACCAAATGTTTGCCTTATTAACTAAATACTTGCTTGATTACCGATTAATTATTTATCCATTTATGTATATATGTATATTCATATGTTTTGTTTGTTTGTTGTTGATTTCTTGCATAATACTCGTACTCCGTAATTAACAATCTTGAAATGTGTGGCTGTTCGCTCGAGTTTAGTGTAAATATTAAAAATAGTTGTAATTTGACTTGGGTTTTCCTCTTTTGTTGTGCATCATTTAGTAGTTTTCGTTTTTAGTTTAGCCTCAGCTTTAGCATTAGTTTTGCCCTCTAAAATCTCCCTCGGCTGCCTTTGCGAAAGGTATAAAAAGTTCATCCTACAGTTTACAGTGTACAGTTTACAGTTAAGAGTTACAGTTTCAACAATCCCTCAATTATTAATAATATCTTCAAGTTCCTTCGTTATAGAGACCATTGTATATAGTACAAAATTTACAATAGAAGCGAGACCTTTTCTTCTGGGTGGAAAAACCAATTTTTGGGGGACGGGGCTAGAAAAGTTTTCTGGGGCGGAGGTGGGGATAAAAGACATGGGGAAAAGCCCTAAGTATAAAGCAAAAGAGCCGAAGGCTGCCTCTTGGGGGGACTAGCGCGTGTCTAATAAATTTATACAAAATCTGTGCTCAGAAAATAGTTTACAAATATACTTTAGACTTAGTTACACTGTCCTTTGGGCATGATATAAATTGTACACATCATGTACATATATCATCATCATCATATCATATATATATATATATATATTGTAAATAGCTTCCTGCTTGTATAGTATGTTTGTGTTTCGTGTTTCTGGTTTTTTTTTTTTTTGTGGGGGATTTCAAAGAAGCTCGGAGTTACGCAAATTTTGATTGTTTCTTGGCTTTCACTGGCGTATAGAAAAGGTGCTGAATTGTCACTTGTATCTGTTAAGTATACACGATGTTGCTTTGCTGATATATATTTATGTATATTCGTATAGTTTAAATTGACCCAAAAATGTGTGTATATGTTGTATTCATGCGTTGGCCGGGTAAAAGTCTTCAAAACGCATCTGGTAGTTCAAGTACTGTGTGTCTTTATGAGATTTTATTGATTTCTGCTGCCAATTTGTGGCAATTTCAGCAATGCTAGGCTTCTACTAAGTCCCTAATTTTGTGTCTGTCTGTGTCAAGTGTTTTTATTTTAATCCACAACTTTTATCCATAATTTTGTTTAAGCAGCGGGGGATCGGGGAGCAAACCCCCGTCTTGTTGCTCGTCACTTTTGCACCATTTGAATTTCGATTCATCGCTAACATTTACAAACTGAAGAGAAGGAGGAGTCTTTGTCGAACAACTAGAGTAGGTACAATACATACAATGCTGGATTGAAGGATACTGGCTACAGTTTAGCTTCGGTTAAGTTATCGTCGTCGATGCAATTACATTGCTCTGCTGTGCTGGAAACGTTTTACAAACGGTTCGTTCGGTTATCCTGTCTTAGTCTCAATCCATCCAAGAATCAATTGATGAAGCGCGCTTTCTGCTTGCGCACAAAGTCCTGGGCCTGCTTGTCGTTGATTCCACCTCGAGGATTTGCAAAATGGGATTACCTATCAAGGGGAGCATGAAGAGGAAATAGCATGTGATGGGATTGAGGGGTTGGGTGTTTTTCTCAACTTACATTTATCCTTTTGCTCCATGAGTGGCAGCTCGATTTGTTTCAACCCATGGAAGTTGTCCACACTGGTGCTGTAGTCCGCCACTCCGGGTATGTTGCCCAGGGCCAGATAGGCTCGCCACCGAAATCATTGGCCGTCAGGACATCGTGGTCCATCACTGTGAAACATATCATGGCGCCCTCGGTGAGGCACTGCTCCAGGGTTACAGAGAACTCAAAGCACTCATCGAATATGGGGTTCAGAGTGCGCTGCAGTCGAGGAATAATGAGTTATAATTAGATGATATTAATAAAAAGTTTTACCTTATGCACATTCGTCTGCTGTTCCATGCAATGCAGGAATATCCTTCGTGGCAGCAACTCAATAACCACAAAGGGATCACTGAAGCCATTCGGATCCAGGGGCACCACATCCCGGGCATGCAGCACCTCCACACAGAGCGAGTCATGATTGAAGTAGGCCCGCACTGCCAGCGATCCATAAGGCGAGGGAGTCACCGCCATCACTGCTCCCTCAGGCGTTCATATAGAACATATCTATAAGCCGATCCGTGTCGTTTTGTGGAACTGTAGCCTCTGTCTATCGCCAGAAATCCTCCGTGTGCAGGCACTCAAGGAGCAGGCCCTGGCCCTCGGCATGGAAGAAGTCGATGAGCAGCTGGAGTGCCTCGTACAAACGCTTGTGGAAATGCGTGGGCTTGTCCGTCTCATCGCCCGTCTCCATTTGACGTGACATCTCGCCCAGCACCGTTTTCCAGATGAAACGCAGAGATCGATTGAAGTTCTTGGTGAGCAGGGCGCTATTCAGCGCCGCCAGGTGGCAGTCCAGGTACTCCAGGAGCGGAACAATGCCTGGTTGGCCGGTAAGGAGTCCGGGGACCAGGCCAAATGGAACATGGCTTTTGCAGTGACATCTGCATGAGGGGAGCCAGCTTGGACAGGATCCGTTCGTTCTATTCTCCATGTGGGTAAGACTAGACTCTAAGAGGTTGTCTGCCGATTCCTCCAGTGGCTGTTCATCCGACCGGAACTCTGCCAGAGTGCGACGCACATACTCCACATTATTGACAGTGACACACATGTCATCGGAGCAGCGGAATGGACCCTGCTGCTCGTAGTAACCACTGTCCGCCAGGGCGTGTGTATCAGATCGCAGTAGTGCATCGCCGCCGAGCAAACCACATCAATTAGCTGGGATTCCAACATGATGGCCGTGTCCTCGTCCGGCCAGTTCATCACCTTCCAGAACTCCTTAATATTTAGCAGTGTGCTGGCAGTGTCCACCGAGGACTGCTGTAGCGCACAATGCGCTCTCCTTCACAGATGGCATCCATGCGGATGGCCGCCCTAATCCTTTGCAGCGCCTTGGCCTTGCTCACCATCATCCAACGCTCCAGAGTGGGGATAACCACTCGTGGCTCTGACTCAGCGCTAGAGGCTTCTCCGGCGGCTGTGGCTGCGTCGAGAGGTGACGCTTCAGCTGGCAGAACTCCTGAAGGGCCAGGAACAATTCAAAGGGCTTTGTGTCTACCGGTTCGACATCACCCTCGAGCACGGCATACTGGGAGAGATTCATTCGGACTCCGGGCACCTGGCCAGCGGCCATCCGGGTGTACACCTCCTCGCCCACCATTGCATCGTACTGTTTGTAAATGATGCTGAAGTACTGGATGCCGTTCGTGCTGCGAATGAAAATAGAGAGGGTTTTGTTACGTGGCTGGGTATTGCTTCAAGAGATTACCCATAATCGGATTACCCATTTTCAGGTTCAATTAGGTAGTAGGTTAGTAGTCTTTTCTTGCTATTTCTTTATTATTAAATATTAAATTTCCTAAATTAAAGTCCTCCTACCTTCAAGTACTTGTAAAATCAAAATTTAATCAATTTTAAGAAACTTTTAACTAAACACAAACCCCATTCGCAAGACAACCGTTGCCTGGGCAGACAAAGCCAACCTCAGTCCGTGTTTAAAACGAGAAAATGCCGCAATTAGCCTCCAACTGAATTTTGCTAATGCCGCAGGACTGCAGGACTCTGGCCTGAAGCACTCAGCTCTCAACACTTTCCACTGACAGCCCCTGGACATTTGCTAAATGCCTTGTCAGGATGCCCGACCCGAAGAAGAAGGGCAACGTGAGAGCATTTTTATGACAGCGCAATTAATTTGGGGCTTATGTGTGTAAGCCACTTGATGTCCTCATTAAGGTCCTTTTATGGCCGCGCTAACTGGCAAATATGTGACTGATTAGTCCAGCGGGAAGGCCAAGGATGCGCCACTATGCACCTATAAACGAAACGAGCCGTTATTGAAGCCCTTTCCGGCCTGGCCTAATGGCGTAACGTGATCCGCTTGTTAGATGGATCGATTTATCATTTAATTTGCCAGAGATTTTGAAACTCGTGCACCTGTGTAACAGTGCTGCCCGAATCAACTTATATTCGAGGGAAATAAGCCCACGTTTCAATTATAATAATAGCTTGTTTTCCTTCTCGTTATTTTAAAAGGTTCTTTCATTTTAACCTTTTGGTTATTTTTAGAAAAGTCTAAAATTCCTCGGAATTTGAAGCGAAAAAAATTCTATTGTGTTGTTTACATTGAAAACCTCACTTGTGTACCTGCTGAATGGAGTTGTTCCCATTCAATCCCATATCTATTACCAGAATGGGTTGTTTTTTTTTTAATATATTCGCACTACTTATGCTCATAAAAAGCACTTCCAGTTGGACAGTGAAGTGTCCCAGTTGCCGGCAATCTGTCATGACAACATTTTGCGGCCCTCATTAATGCTCGTTAGCTTTATGACTTTGACTCGGGCATTTGACAAATGCTCAAACTGATTAGAGACCGACAGTGTAGAGTGCAGAGTCGCCCCCGGCGACGATATCGGATAAGTTGGTATCGAAATGACGCCATTTGCGCGGGTGGCATACAATTCAATTGGGTCAGCGGGCGAGCGGAGTGCAAGTATGTGTGTGCTCACATGGTAACCAGGAGCTGGAAGGGACTTGGAGCAGGGAGCCAAGCTTTTATGTACGACACGTGTCCGACATACTCAACTTGGTGACGGGGCAAAGGTAACTAACCCGAACCGGCGACTAAAAGTGATCCCGTAATCCGCAATCTACACTAAGGACAATTTAAACTAAGTTTTGATAATAGAGAATTTAAGTTTATCTTATTTTGAACTTAAATAATGAAGTAAGTTTCGGAAACCGGAAACTTACATATCCTGTGGAACCATCGAATAGAAAATCTTTCATAACTAAGCCGAATAGCATTAATTTAAATTCGGAAAGCGGTTTGTGATAGTTTTTAATAGCTTACAATATCTCCATACCGTATTAGAATTTTAGAAACTTAAAAATTTTGACAATTTTTGAAAATTTTAACGATGTAACCCCTTTAAAAAGTTGAAAAAATGGGAAAAATTTTAGATTTTCAATATTTTGTTATTTATGAATAAAGATTTTAATTCTGAAACGGAATATATACGACTTTTCGAAATCCCTTGCTTTTTGGGCATTTTATGCCTTCAAGGAGTCCTGAAATATTGGCATATTTTAAACAAATATTTCTCTCTGTGCAATACTCACTTGTCGAAAAGGGCATGATAATAGGTCTGCCCCAGCTGAATGTCGGCCGTTAATGTCGTTACGAAGTTCGATAATGGATTGGGCATACCCTGCGACTCCCGGAGCACGGCCTGGCCCCACATCACGGATCCTTTGCGCAGGGCGTTGACCACCTCACCGCGCACACCCTTGTTGAAAGGACACACGGCCCGGAATGCCCTCATGGAGCCAAGAAGTCCCAGGCAACGCAGCAGGAACTCCAAGCGAATCAGTGAAGGCGGATTTAGCGCTGGAAAGATGTCCCTATGCCGCCGTATCTGATTGAGAGAACGCTCCACAAATCCATTCATGGCATCCGCTAGCCACTGTTCCAGATCACGACTAAGTGGCTCCTGATTAGGCTGATTCCACTGCTTCTCCACGTCGCTCAGCAGACGATGAAGGAACTTCGGATCCAGTGGGGTGGAGCGATTTAGCTTGGCAGCAGCCACATATCTTGAAGAAAAGCAGAAAACAGAAGTCAATATTATATCAAAGAAATAAAATACACTTATTTTACTTGTGAAAATATATTATAACCCACCTGGCCATGGCGCAATGCAAGTCAGATAGATCTGCCTGCACGGCTAACTGATGAAGGATGGTCAACGCCGGTCCTGGCAGATCGCCGCACCAGGTCCACGAAGGCTCATGTGTGGTCACCTCATGCTGCATGAAGACCATTTGCAGTTGCTCTATCTTGTGCAGCTGCTGCTCATGGTTCTCCTCGCCCACCGTGCTCCGATCCTCGCGCGTTGACAGCCACAACTTGAGCCGGATTCGTCCCTGGACAGTGCTCCGATGACTACGTGCCTCGAGCTTAAACCAAGCATCCAGTCCGGTCGAGGGGATGTCCGAAAGGGGTATGTTCACCGAGCCGAGGAAGTCGTCCTGGGAGCCCTGTCGAGCAGACTGGCACACCTGTTTGAAGAAGCGTCCCAGGCCGCGGACTCCGCGGACCTCGTTCAGTCGCGAGACAGCGTCTAGGACGCAGCTTTCATCGTCGTGGTCCCAAATGTCCAGGTGAAACGTGTCCGTGTTGATGTCGTCTATGTCGCTGCAAAAAAGGATACAAAGTTAAACACTTAAATGGAATACACCGATTTGTGTTTAATTTATTTAAAAGTTGCTTCATATTTGTCCTATTAAAACCTTGTGAGTTAGCATGTGTTTTCCCGGAACATTTGCCAGAGCTTTGTGCTTCGTTTAATTTATTACATGATTTATTCTTGCATTGAAATTGAAACAACATTCGCGCAGTGTTGTCGTTGATTTTCCACGAAGCCCTTGGAAATCCGCTTTGGTTTGAAAACAGTCATAAAAGTATATTTGTTTTTCTGTTCTGGGAAGTGTTGCTGCTTAGTTAGACATTTTGTAAAGGATTTAGCGATGCTTAATTTGGTTTTATATTTTGTAATTTAAATATTATATAAAATATGGAAATTTCTTTGTCTTAAAATTATAAAAAAGTATTTATTTTTTTTAGAAAATATAAGAAATTCACTGTAAAATAAATATATACGTCTTTGTTAGAGTGCCAAACTTTCCAGCTTGATTGGTTTTCAATTTCCCTGTTTCCATTTTTATGGGAATTGCAACATAACATTTCATTGCATTTCTTATGGCACATTTCATGTGCATTTGCGTTTCCATTTTATGGAAAATGTAAATGAATTTTCCTCTTTTATGGCTTACAACTCGTAAATTACATTCGGCATTGAAGCGAATCGTTGAGCATGTGACAGAGATCAGAGCTCACAATGATTTGTTTGGTTTTGATGCCAGGTTTCCTCATTTATCAACCAGCCAGGCGGAAGGAAGGGCGCCTGTCATCTTCTAAATATTTCATTTAAATTACAAGAGGAAGTAATTGAATAATTCCTTTTACAAATCCCTCAAAAAATTGCCGCGGTGCCCTCTTTATTTAAGCAAACAATCGTATTAAAATGTTCCTCAAAGTGTGCAGAGAGAGAAATTAATGTTTTAATTTAAATTGAATAGTAAAATTATTTTTATATTACCTAATATTCTTAAAATCAAAATTAAATTATAGTTTCGATATCAGAGTTTAGTTTTTATATACAAATGTATTTATATTGTTTGTTCTGTGTTCACTTACAACTTGAACTTCTCATTCCACTTGGGGGTCAGTGTATGGGGCTTAATGCTGGTCGCCTTGATGAGCTTGGCCGGCACCGGGCCGCCCAGTGAGTCGCGCTGCTCCCGTCGACCCGCCTCCCGCCGCTTGAAGCTCAGCCGGAAGCTGTGCTTGCGATGCGGCGGCGAGTCCGTGGCGCTGTTATCGAAGCCACCGCTCATGTCCGCGGACAGGGCTCGAGGCGTCGGCGGCAGCGGCAGCGGCGACACGGGCGGACAAGCGTCTCCGTCCGGCTGGATGCCCAGCATGCAATACGGATCCGAGAAACCTGCAAGAGCAATAAATAAAAGATATTTAATAGTTTCTTCAATCATTATATATGTACAGATATAAAAAAATCTGTTTATATTTAAGTAATCCTTTTATGAACAGAAGTAAAGAATACATGGAGATGGCATTTAATTATATATTATCCCGAGATGCGAAAAACAAGGATACAGGAAAAAGGAGCGGCGAAAATGAAGGAATGAGAAATGGCGCCGCATTAATGAAGAAGCTCGCCCCGATGACATTAAATGCCAATTAATGGCACTGCCCGCGGGGACAGCGTGGCGTCAGCTGGTCCCAGTCACACATTGCGTATGATTAACATTTCATTTGCATAAAGTGCCGCTCAATTATTGAGTGCCTGTGATTTACGCGCACAGCAAAAAGAGCCATGAGCCGTGAGCCATGAGCTATTAGCTCATAAACCCAGCAAGCAGCAGCCGCAGATGCCCGCTGCCAAGATTAAGACTTTCCACAATCGCTAAGATTTTTCCCAAAATAGTTGAAACAATTGGACTGAATGCCTTGGGGACATTGCTTTGACACGATTAATTTAATTGGGTTCAAAGTGGCTACAAATAAGTGAGCGCATATTGAATTAACCAATGTACTGATTATGTACTAAAACCGATTCCTTCCGAAGGCAAATCGATTACCCGCCCAGAAATGATTCATTCGAAATTCGGACCTCTACATGGTGGCCGCACTCATTGTAATGACCAATTTCGGTTCTTGCTTTCACGGTTGACCAGTTGAGGTCCAGTCCAGGCCAGGAATCACTGGCTGCTAATGAAAGCAGAGTCGAACCGAAAGGAATTGAACTGAACAGAACCTGATTCTCGGCTTTCGGAGCTTATTTGCCAGGCGGGAATGGGGCCAAAACAAAGGCAGTTCGCCGCACTCATCAGCCACGTTTCATCGGCAACGAGTTGTTTGCCATCGGCCCAGGGCCACATCCTTCTCCTACCCACCCAAAATCTACCCATTCCGGCCTATTTGGTGGGGCTTCCAGACGTTGGCCGTCATCGGTACATTTAGCAGATGGCAGACGGCACACTAATATTACCATTGCCTTTGCCACTGCCACTGCCACTGCACTATTGTCGGATGGAAGGCAGGACACAAGGAGGTAGGACACCAGAAGGCGGGTAACAAGGAGGCAGGACTTCAGGAGGCGGTAGAAAAATGTTCGAACAGAAGTAGACGCAGCCGAAGGAGCACTCAACGTATTCCTTACACATCCTTGAGCACATTAAAATGCGAAATTGCGTTGCCTTCGATGAGGATGGTGCTGCTTATGCACAGAAAGAAATGTAGATTTAAAGTGAAGTAAGTAAGTTATAAAAAAACTTATAAAAAGAAAAATAAGCTAACTTCGCAAAACCGTAGAGTGTTTACCATTTCAGCAGCGATTGTGAAATCGAATGGAAATCGATCATAACTATTGTAAAAACGCATTTATTTTTATTCGGAAATATGTTCTACGTTAGTTTTGATCAGGGTAATGAATCTGCATACTAAATTTAACATTTTATAATTTGATTTTTTTTGTCAATTTTTGAAAATTCTAATGATGTAACCCCTTATAAAATTTGAAAATAATTGAAAAAAATAGATTTTTACCAGACATATCTAGATCGATTTAGCTGCTGATTCTGATCAAAAATATATATGATTTATAGGGTCGGAAATGATTCATTTCAATGTAAAATTCAATTTCAATATTATAAAGGACCAAAAATAGTTATTTAATTTTCCCTAATCTTTTAATGAGTTTTCTTGCAGTGTCCTCCTATTTACTGGTTGTGAGGCTTCTGCTCTTGAGCATAATGAACAAAATGGGAAGCATTAAATTGCAAATTTATTGAACGCACACTGACACAAAGAGAACCACGAAGAGGCATAAGCAAAACTGTGAGGAGGACAAACCAAAAGGCTCCGAAAATACAGGATAATTGAGGGAAATAGTCAACGCACATGGGGCTACGTTTATGGATGCCTCATTTGGCTTCTTGATTTGCCCAGCATTGAGAGAGAGGCACACACACAGGGGGGCTTCATAATGCAATTACCGCAGTAGCCGCAAAATCAATTTACAAACTAAAAATATTTACACACGATACATACACGATGGACAGATTGATACATTGGAAGAGTGCGGAGGGGTACTATGTGAAAGTGTCGAGTGTGTGGAAATCTGGAAAAGCTTGGGCTTACCATTGGCATCCTTCGCCTCGAGGCCATCAGCCTCGATTACCACCGCAGAGAGTACGATTATCTTTGGTTTATCCTCGGCGGAGGCGTGCAGCAGGCGATAATGACGATCCGGATTGACACCGAAGGCGCGCTGTGCGTGCAGATACATTTCGTCCTTGTAATGCGCAAACTGTGTTGTTGTTGCCAACAGTACGTATACGTAATACGTTTTACCCATACGCCATGTTGTACGTGGAGCGTTGAGCGTTGCCATGGGGAGAGTAAATATTTTGAAAAATTTAATTTAATTATATTGTCATTTATTTGTATAAATATTTTGGCAGTCAACAAAATCATAATATCATTTAATGGAAAATTTGCATATTTTTCTTTGGCACCAAATTTCGTTTATTGGCCTTCGTCGCCCTCCCACATCTTCAAACAAAATCCTGTGTTTTTTTTCGCCTTTTCCTCTCATCTCTATTGATTTATCTTCCTTGAATTTATTAGCCTGCCGACGCTTGATTTAGATCACGCTTCGAGTAGCGCTTTTATCGCATTCCCGACTACTTGGATATTATTATAATTTGATTGCTTTTGCGCAGCCAAAAAAATTATGAATGAACCTTGTGAAATTAAGTTGAACTGGCAATATTTTTGGAAATATAATTTGATCAAGCTTATTTTAATCTTCGAAATCGATAATTGCCTGCAGGAATGAATAAAAAGATGACAGAAAAGCTAATAAAAATTAATTTCAACTTAAGAAATGCTTTGAAATGTATTTAGCAGCTGAACGTACTTGTAATCCATCTCTCTCGGCTTATGTTTATACTCATTAAGCGGGCGTGCGGGCTCCCCATTAGCGCGCTTTTAGTTCACCTCGATATAATTCAGTTTAATTGAAAGTAATCTGAGCCTCACTTGAAGGCAACTCAGCTCAGTTTGTTTTTCGTTTTAATGACTACTTCTTGGCCGGATTATAACTAAGGACTCTTCAAGGCGGAGCATCTGTTTCTGCAACTGCCTTCTTGCATTCGCGTTATTATTTTTATTTTAGTTTTTTTTTTTGCTTTCATTAATTTCCATTAGGGTGGACTTAACCCTCCGAGCAAATCGCATTTATTTATAATTATTTACGATTAAATGCAAAAATGGCCAGAGAGCCAGAGCCGAGTCTCCCGCAGAGACCAGGCGAGGCAATAACTTTGCGGACTTGGCCAACTCACTCTGGTCCTATGGTCCTTCTGCTTCTGTTTCCCATTTCTCAATCCGCTTTGCGGGGACCCGCGAGATTTGACCGGTTTCAACTCAATCACAGCAGGAGAGGAGCAATGTTATTTTCCTAGCACTAGTTGAAACTTTTATTATGCCGGCGTAACCTTGCCTCAGCATCCTCCTCCTCCCCCCAAGGAGCCTTCCTTCTCTCGCAGGACTTGGTCCGAGTTTCATTAGTTGTGCACTGGGCGTCTAACAATTTTCTTACAGCTAAATTAAAAACGATAATTGAAAAATGAACTCGTGTTAAGCTGGCTTCAGCCATCGCAGAAATATTGCAAAAATATTGGAAAATTCCTTTTGAAATGGCAATCAGCAGCTGGGGGGAGCACACTTTTAATTGAATTTCTGCCCTCAACATCAAGTTTAGAGCTCGGAAATGAAATAAGTTGGCCCCAGCCTCGGGTACAGTTTTGCTGCCTGTCCCAAAATCTCCGCTCCTTTGAATCCCTGAGTATGTTTTCTTGCCATTGGGCAATCCAGGGCATTAATCATTCAAATTACAAAACGTCTCAAAGCCTAATGCCTCCGATTAAGCCTTTCAATCATGTGGTGGTGTCGTCTCTGGCACGAGTATCTGAGTATCTGGTTTTCTGGTAACCCCTAAATCGCCTTAATTTGTATAATTTGCAACTATTTGCATAAGTTTCCTCATCCCCAAGAAAAGAGGGTCCCAAAATCATAATTTTCCGTCCCTTTAATATTGATTTACCTGGCCGCCGGGCGCTGGGGCGCCCACCGTATTGGCAATGGTATGCAGCACCTCAGCATACAGCTTCTCCTTCTCATCCTGGCGGTCAATGGACTCCTCCTGGGGCGCTGGCGGATCACGTTCGTTCTCGGGATTAGCCTCGGCACGTGCTTCGGCGGCACGCGTGGCCGACATGCGACGGTTCTCCCGCTTCCAGCCGAGCGATGTAAAGTTCTCAAAATACGAGCCATCCGTTTCCTGAACCCTGCGAATCGAAAAATGCAAAAATGGGGACATCAGGCGGTGAATGTGTACGGCAAACGAGTTTCAATGTGCGAGAGGGTTTACTCTTTATGGACTTGCTCGATTCTATATCAAAGAATATTCAAATTGACTGCTGCTGCCGCTGTCAGTTCGGTGTCTGACTTTAATTGGCACTGTCAATATGCCGTTGCCAACATACAAATGTGACATTGTCCTACCTATTTCAACATTTTGATAAGGGTCGACCCTTGGCCTGTTGCCCGTTGCCCGTTGCCAACGCTACGATATGGGACCCACTCGGCGTATGCTTGATGCCCAGAAAGCTAAAGCCTACCCGAGCTGCTAATTGTATACAAATATTCAGCATTTTGGTGCAGAGAGAGAAATGTCTTGAAATTTGAATTTAGGTTTTCAGTTTACTTGATTATTTACACAACATGGTTTAATTATTTATTTACCCCTATCTAAACCTCTTCTCTCAGTGCACATTTGTTTGAAACTTTCTGTGAGTGTATGGGTTTCCTAACTAGGGCTAGTCAGGATAGTATATGCGCTGCCTAATCATTTGATTTGCATGCTTCTCACACACTCACACTCACTCTGACTTGGCCAAGCATCTGTGGCAACAACCAAAAAAAAAAAGAGAAAAAAAGTTGGGCACAAAGTTTGCCCACTCAGCAGCGGAAACGGCTAAGCGGCTTAACTTTGTCGCCGTCGTTGATGATTTTTTACGTTTACGTTTATGGCGAAAAATAAACTGGAGCCTTGCCCGGCCCCCAAGTAGGCAACACTTTCTGTCGACACTCTTGCGCTGAAATGTAGGCAACACTTTCCGTGGACACCTCTCCGTGTTGATGTGCGACCGGTTGTTTTGTGTATATGTGTGTGGGAGGCGTGCGAAAATGGTCAACGTAATTGCCGTAAATGATAGGGCAGAATGGGCGTGGCCAACTTGGGGACACTAACTGCATTGTTTGAAGCTCGAAACTTGCTCGGGGAGAAATTTAATTTTAAACTTTTTCACCCAGATGTTTGTGTTGTATTTATTTTTCGTCTGCTTTGTGATTTCATCGCTTCCAGAGACACTCAATTTTCGGTTTCAATTGTTAAGATTTTTCACAATTTCTCCTGTCTTGGTTTTTTTTTTTTGTATTTTCCTGTGGCTCTGCCAAAAGTTTTTCCCGAACTTTTGTTTTTTGGTATTTATTTTGTCGCAAATATTTATTTTGTATTTAACTTCAAGGTAAACAATTTTCGTGCGTGAAAAGTTTTTATTTTCATTCGAACTTTATGGCATAAAATTATGATTGGTTTTTATTTGTCATGCGAATCAGCGTAACTTTAACTTATCGTGAGATATAGTCACCTTATTGTCTCCATTCGGGAATATTAGTATTTAATAAACTGTATATTTATATTAAACTGGTTCTAAATTATAATTGCGGCTTTAATAAATTATAATTATTTTCCCCCGGGATGCCATGCGTTATCGTATGCTAAAATTTAATGGCTGCGGTGACAAACCAATTTTGTGGCAATTAGCAGTTAATACATAAAATATGAAATTTCGTACATCAATTACACTTTTGATAAGCTAAATCATTTTCAGTTTGACTACCAACTGGTAAATAACTTTTGTTACCTATTGGGAACTGCCGCTGTCCCCATTGCTGATCAATGAACAGTCAAACCAAGAGTTGACAAATAGGTAAAATAAATAATAATAAAATATATATTTTGTCAAAAAGAAAATGAGAACGACCCACGAGAGATTAATGTACCACACATCTTAAAACTTAATATTTCGGGCGTAATTAATTAAAATGAATTAAATTTAATTCCTGAGAGGCAAACAAACAGGCTGCACAAGACGGCGAATCTATACTTTATGTATCTACATGTTCCTACCGATATCATTAACGGTCCCAAGGTCTTTAAAATAATGCAAAATGTTGTTCAATGCTCAGGTGTTCAAACATAAAAGTCACATTTTTATTTTGACAGAAAAATGCAAGATTATTTGTGTAACCAATCTCCTCTGGCGTAACTAAATTAATTAAATTAAATTCAAAAGAATCATGAAAGGCCGAGACTGAACATATACTCCAATCGTGAAGAAATAATTACCAAAAAAATAGGTCAAATATAATCACGTGAAATGAAATAAGAAAAAATAAAAATAAAAACGTTAAGAAAGAAGTCATGATCCCATGACTTCGGGGCAAAGACTGTCTGTCTGGCTCTGAGCCGTTGGCTTTTATATGACTTAATTTAAAATAAATGTCAAGGGCTACTACGATTTTCTTCGAAAATCATTCTATCAAATTTTGTCAATTTTTTCAAACACAATTCTCTTTTCTCAGTGTGTGACCTGGGTATTTCCGAAAAACTTTTCGACACTCAAAGGTTCTGCCCGCATCCAAAGTTGCCATGGGTGCGAAACTTTCTTTGGAAATTTCAGCGCCGAACTAACTGAAAGAACTTTTGTAATTACATAATTATGAAGGTCGAGCGGTAAAGTTTCAGAAAACAAATCGAGAGCACAACTGAAATTGAAGTACATTAATTAATTGGTAAATAATTTATTTTAGATATTCCCCATGTCGTGACTTTAAGTCCGCACTTGGTTTATTTACGTCGTCGGTGCCAGGAAGCCGTGAAATCCCTGGAGAAGCTCATTACGCCCCCGTGCCCTAATTTATGCATTTCACATTCGAATACCTTCCTCCGTATTAGCATTTCCATCTGCGGGCTAATTACCGCGAACAAACAAGGATGAGTTATGCCCCCGATTCCCCGTCAGACAAGTCCTAAATTTGCCAAATCCATTCGCACATCATCAGCTATGCATTAAGGAACTTACCCGGAATTGGAGCGCGGGTCCACTTCGGGCCAGCTCAGCCGGCGCTTGCAAAAGGCCAGCGGCGGACGGGGTGGCGGATCCGGCTGATGGAGCGGCGAGTTGCGCTGCCGGAAGGATCCAGTGCGCGGCGGAGCGAGGCATTCCAGAGCCCTGGATTGGCGACGCGACTGGGGTGTGCCGCCACCACCGCCAGAGGCGGATGTGGAAGAGCTCCCGGATCCGGGGTTGCCGCCCGCACCTGCAATTTTCGGGTAACCTGTGGTGGACACCAAAAAAGGGGTAAGTAAGAAATCGGTTTAAAAGGGTCAAGGCTTAATTAAAAGAACAAATTCTATAAAACTGTATTAATGATTCTTATAAATATAATATTACAATTTAAGAATTATTTAGATGAAATAAATATACTATTTTTGTATACAAAATTAAACTATACCTTTTAATAATCCTAACATAATATAATAAATATCAAACTCCATGGACTGTCAAGTGAGTTTTTCACGAATGAAAGGAGTTTTCCCATGGTCAATGAATTTTTGGTATCCAAAGAAACAAATGCATTTTCCTCTTCTATGAAAATTTAAAATTCACAAAAGTTGGTACTTGGAAGGTATATATAGCTCCAGAGCCGTATGCCCCATTATTTCCCATAACATGCAAATTTCTGTGGAGAACAGGTGGGGGTGGCAGGTGATGGTTTTCAACGAAAGCCAGGTGGCAAATGAGCCCAGTCAAAGTCAATGTGGTGCCGACGCCTTGTGCCATGTGGTGCAGTGGCCCATGCTCAAGGTAACCGCATCCCGCAGCCTTGACATGCATCTGTGTGGCTCCTGCGGCTCCTCCTGCCACGGGCCCAGCTCCTAGACCGAGTCCCGGACTATAGCTTCAGTGGCAGACTCTGGCACAGAAGCCCCACACGGAGTGCATGCGGTTCGGTGCTTTTTTGGAATGGAAATAGCTAACCATTACTGCGGCTTCGAAAAGAAAGCTTCTTCGGCCACCGAGCAGCCGCTGGAAGCCAGAAAAAAATACATGTACTCAAACGAGTATGCACGAAAATTTCTGTTTAAAATGTGTGCTTACAAAGCGGAAAGTCAAAGTTGGACTGCACTGGACCCTACCGTGTACATGGGTAAAAACGCTTACACATTGATGGCTTTCCGGAAAAGCTTCCCCCACCGCGCTGGCCAAGAAAACCGCTCGTTCGTGGCTCTTGCAACAAGATAAGCCAATTTCAATTTTGATTCAAATGCTGCAGACGTTGGTGAATCAAAGTCCCAGCCAAATGCCAAGTCAATGTCGTTGGCAAAAGGCGATGGCGAGAGCGATGGCGATGGCAGAAAGCTAGAATGCTGAAAAGTTTAGCTCACACAAGATCCCGGCGGTTTGTGGCCAGGACACGCAGCTCCTGCTACTTCTGCTTCTGCGTCTTGACATTTAAATGTGTTTGCATTTGCCAACTAGGACAGAAACAACAACCTCGAACATCGTTTAGCTCGGCAAACAAGTTTTGCATAGCCAAGCGGAGCCAAAGCGGAAACGAAGCCGCACAAGAAGTCACATATGCATGCTGATTGCTTTCGCTTCGTTGGCACTGATTGCACTGTAAGAAAATCTAGTTAAATTTTTCAGTTCCTGAATAATTATAAAAAGTTCCCTAAATAATTCGGCATATATTAAAGTAAATTAAAATAAAGTTTTCATTTTGCCTCATTTTAAGTATCCGCATGCTTATATCTTGTTTAAATAATAATTCTTCAATTTTAAAGCTATTAAGTAAAATAAATTGGTTTATATAAATCTATTTTTAGCTAAAAATTTTAAAAATATATTATTTTCCAGTGTTCCCCCCTATAATAACCCAACAAACCCCAACCCAGACGCGACACTTCGTCGCTGCTGATGTGGTTTCTTCTGCACATTTGTTGATCCATATGCGAGAGGCGTTGCTCAACACAATATATAATATATATTCGGCGATTGGGAAACTTTGGGCGCATTTGGTGGCTGGCAAAACATGTAATGTAATTTTCATATTGAGACCCGATGACGATAACGTCTGGCGGATTCAATAAACTTTTCCGTGTTTACCATTGCTGTGGCATGCATACGCAAACAAATTCTTTTTTGACCAAGTTATGGCACTGCCGATAGAGAGTGAAAGTTGAACTTAACTTAAAGGTGATTCTTACTTTTTTTATGCACTTATACCCTTGTTTATCCACTGTGGCCCCTAGTGAGTACTGGGCTAAAAACCACATAGGAAAACTCCATTAGCAACTTAATTAGAGCCAAGGCTATTTAGGGATTCATGTCAACCAGGTTCGTTGCCAAAGAACGTGACCTTTGGCAAAGCGTTTAACAAGCCAATGCTTTTTACATAATAAAAAATAAATCTTATAAAAAATAAAATATAAAATTAAACATAATAAATATTCAAGGATCTATATACTTAATATGCTAGCGTGAATTCACTTGCGTTGCTAGTTAAACTCCTTTTTTGATTGGAAACCTTAAGGCAAGGAAACTTCAGTTTAAAATCCTGTTTTATAATTCAATAATATTAATTAATGAATGATAAATTATTATTTCAAACAAAAACAGTATAATTGGTATGGATTTTATTGGTATTTTTTAATACGAAAAATTTTGCGACAAATCAAATTTTAAAAAACTCATAACTCAGCCAAAAATGCATGAAATTCAATTCGGAAAGCTGTTCTGTGCTAGTTTTTACTAGGTTAACAAATCTGCATACTTAGTTTAAAATGTTAAAATTCTCAATTTTTGGCCAATTTTTGCAAATTTTAATGATGTAACCCCTTATCATTTTTTCAATTTTTGGCCAAATTTAAAAAAAAATTTGTTTTGTCCGGAGTAATCTAGATCGACGCAGATTTTTGTGCTGATCAAGAATATATATGGTTTATAGGGTCGGAAATGACTCCTTCGATGTGTTTTAAGCTTCTGACTGAAATGAGAATCCCTGTTTTGGGTACAAAAAAAATATGGGAACAGCCTTTCCAAAGTCCAAATATCAATACTCTTGTGTCGTTTAGAAATTTGTTGCCTTTTCCGAATCTATTCTATTGTTCTATTTATCATTATTGCATTTAAATATAATATTTTGTATTGCAGAACTATTTTGTAGATAAATTCAAACAAAAACAATATAATTGGAATGGATTTCATTGGTATTTTTTAATACGAAAAATTTTGCGACAAATCAAATTTTAAAAAACTCATAACTCAGCCAAAAATGCATGAAATTCAATTCGGAAAGCTGTTCTGTGCTAGTTTTTACTAGGTTAACAAATCTGCATACTTAGTTTAAAATGTTAAAATTCTCAATTTTTGGCCAATTTTTGCAAATTTTAATGATGTAACCCCTTATCATTTTTTCAATTTTTGGCCAAATTTAAAAAAAAATTGTTTTGTCCGGAGTAATCTAGATCGACGCAGATTTTTGTGCTGATCAAGAATATATATGGTTTATAGGGTCGGAAATGACTCCTTCGATGTGTTTTAAGCTTCTGACTGAAATGAGAATCCCTGTTTTGGGTACAAAAAAAATATGGGAACAGCCTTTCCAAAGTCCAAATATCAATACTCTTGTGTCGTTTAGAAATTTGTTGCCTTTTCCGAATCTATTCTATTGTTCTATTTATCATTATTGCATTTAAATATAATATTTTGTATTGCAGAACTATTTTGTAGATAAATTCAAACAAAAACAATATAATTGGTATGGATTTTATTGGTATTTTTTAATACGAAAAATTTTGCGACAAATCAAATTTTAAAAAACTCATAACTCAGCCAAAAATGCATGAAATTCAATTCGGAAAGCTGTTCTGTGCTAGATTTTACTAGGTTAATAAATCTGCATACTTAGTTTAAAATGTTAAAATTCTCAATTTTTGGCCAATTTTTGCAAATTTTAATGATGTAACCCCTTATCATTTTTTCAATTTTTGGCCAAATTTAATAAAAAAATTGTTTTGTCCGGAGTAATCTAGATCGACGCAGATTTTTGTGCTGATCAAGAATATATATGGTTTATAGGGTCGGAAATGACTCCTTCGATGTGTTTTAAGCTTCTGACTGAAATGAGAATCCCTGTTTGGGTACAAAAAAATATGGGAACAGTCTTTCCAAAGTCCAAATATCAATACTCTTGTGTCGTTTAGAAATTTGTTGCCTTTTCCGAATCTATTCTATTGTTCTATTTATCATTATTGCATTTAAATATAATATTTTGTATTGCAGAACTATTTTGTAGATAAATTCAAACAAAAACAATATAATTGGTATGGATTTTATTGGTATTTTTTAATACGAAAAATTTTGCGACAAATCAAATTTTAAAAAACTCATAACTCAGCCAAAAATGCATGAAATTCAATTCGGAAAGCTGTTCTGTGCTAGTTTTTACTAGGTTAACAAATCTGCATACTTAGTTTAAAATGTTAAAATTCTCAATTTTTGGCCAATTTTTGCAAATTTTAATGATGTAACCCCTTATCATTTTTTCAATTTTGGCCAAATTTAAAAAAAAAATTGTTTTGTCCGGAGTAATCTAGATCGACGCAATTTTTGTGCTGATCAAGAATATATATGGTTATAGGGTCGGAAATGACTCCTTCGATGTGTTTTAAGCTTCTGACTGAAATGAGAATCCCTTTTTAGGTACAAAAAAAAATGGGAACAGTCTTTCCAAAGTCCAAATATCAATACTCTTGTGTCGTTTAGAAATTTGTTGCCTTTTCCGAATCTATTCTATTGTTCTATTTATCATTATTGCATTTAAATATAATATTTTTATTGCAGAACTATTTTGTAGATAAATTCAAACAAAAACAATATAATTGGTATGGATTTTATTGGTATTTTTAATACGAAAAATTTTGCGACAAATCAAATTTTAAAAACTCATAACTCAGCCAAAAATGCATGAAATTCAATTCGGAAAGCTGTTCTGTGCTAGTTTTTACTAGGTTAACAAATCTGCATACTTAGTTTAAAATGTTAAAATTCTCAATTTTTGGCCAATTTTTGCAAATTTTAATGATGTAACCCCTTAT